ACCGCCACTTCCAGAGGACGTTTTCGCAAAACTGAACGGTGGAAAATACTTTACAACCTTGGTCTTGGCGGAAGCATACCTACAACTCGAAGTTGATCTAGAATGTCGGAAACTTCTCACGATAAGTACCAATCGTGGATTGTACCAGTAAAATCGCCTGCCGTTCGGGGTGAAAACTACGCAGGCAATCTTTCAACAACTCATGGATACGATGCTATCAGGAATCCTCGGTGCTGCCGAGTATTTGGACGATCTTACTGTGATGCGCAGTACAGAAACCGAGTTGCTCCATCGATTGGACGAAGTTATGAGCAGAATAAGGGATTATGGATTACGACTCCGAGCTGAAAAATGCAAACTATTCATGAAATCGATCAAATTTCTGGGTTTCATAATCGATCAACATGGACGTAGACCGGACCCGGAGAACATCGAAGTAATTGATCGACTACCGGCACCAACGGACATCACCACACTGAGATCGTTCCTTGGGATGATCAGCCACTACAGTGAATTTCTGCCGGAAATGCATCGACTACGGTACCCGTTAAATCAACTTTTGGCGAAAAATGCAGAGTGGATTTGGACCAGAGAGTGTCAGCAGGCCTTCGACAAACTGAAATCACTACTGAAGTCTGATTTACTTCTAACATACTACAACCCGAACTTGGAGATAATCCTAGCGACCGACGCCTCCAGCTACGGGATTGGAGCAGTGATTTCGCATCGATTTCCGGATGGGTCAGAAAAGGCCGTGGCACACACTGCGCGAGCTCTGACGACGACCGAAAGAAATTACAGTCAAATTGAAAAAGAAGCATTGGCCATAGTATTTGCGGTGCAAAAATTCCACAAAATGCTGTATGGTCGCCGATTTACACTCCTGACGGATCACAAACCGCTTTTGACAATCTTCGGATCAAAGAAGGGAATTCCGATATATACAGCCAGTCGATTACAACGATGGGCCACGTTGCTGCTGGGGTACGATTTCCAAATGAAATACCTATCTACGGATTCCATTGGACAAGCCGATGCCCTGTCCAGACTAATCGACACTGAAAAACGAGGATCTGAAGATACCATCATCGCTGCAGTGAAAACAGAACCAGACGTCAGTTACCTATTGCATGACGCAGTACGTTCCTTACCAGTCACAGCCAGGATGATTCAAAAGGAGACAGCACGCGACTATATCCTACAGGAAGTGATTAGCTACGTTCGTAACGGTTGGCCAAAGAGATGTCCGAGGAAAGAACTATCACATTTTTTCACCAGACGTGAATCATTATCAGAAATTGAAGCGTGCTTGCTCTTCGGTGAACGGATCGTTATTCCAGAAGTACTGCGCAAAAGTGTCCTGAAACAACTACACAAAGGACACCCCGGAATCAACCGAATGAAGGCGCTTGCTCGAAGTTTTGTGTTCTGGCCAATGATGGACAGCCAGTTGGAAGAACTTGGCCGTTCCTGTTCGCATTGTGCATACGCATCAAAACGACCAATCAAGACAGAGCTCCAGACATGGCCAACACCCGATTTGCCTTGGTCGAGGGTTCACATTGACTTTGCCGGACCAATCTATGGAGCATCAATCATGATAGTGGTGGATGCCTATAGCAAATGGCCCGAAGCCATTGTAATGCAGAGCACGACAGCATCGTCCACGATTCGGCGACTCAGGCACATGTTCAGTCAGCATGGCTACCCGGAAACCATTGTATCCGACAATGGACCACAGTTCACATCAGCACTGTTCGCAGAATTTTGTGGATCCCATGACGGGAATGAATCGGTTCATTCGAGAAGCCTTTCAACATATGTTGCACAGGGATTATTTCGAGATTCCATTGTGAAAACATTTAAGGCAGTTGCGAAAGGCAAGGATATGCAGTTGACTGACCAAAACTCTTCTCTCGTTTGTGGGTTACCAGGTGAGCGTAAGCTCCGGACAGAAGAATGGTAAACAGGAGCCATGAAAACCGGGTTGTAAGTCTATGGAATCAGATCAATCACGAACAAGGCCAACGGTGTTCGGATGGCTATAATCATGGGTTTCGCCTCGGTGGCAGTAATCAGGAGTCTGACTCATAAGTAACTTTTATAGTAAGGAATTTGTCCGAAGGCGAGCCTATGCGAACAAACGGACATCATGTCGGTTGGATGGAGTTGTCAAGAGCCGGTTAGGCAGCAAACGAAGGAATATACTGATTGATCAGAATGTCAGCCAATCGGCGTCGTGCTGTTTGTTATACTTCGGTATTTCTCGCCACCCCTTACCCAAGAAGCTTCTGGCGTGACCTTGTGGAACATTTCGTGATAACCATATAAATACAATAGCAATGCTTTTCCTTTGTACTCATTAAAGGCTATATCAAGCTACCGTACCTTTTGACAAACCACAATGTCTGCCTGCGGTGTCCATTGCTAGAACCAAGAACAAATCACAATCTATGGGGAAATCGCCACCAGTCGCCAAGCCTGAGCGGCTGCGAACAAGGACATCTATGAAACAAGCTCATTCCCACCAGTCGTACTAAGTGAAGTAGTAAAGTAAGCCAACAAAAACTTACTTTCGGTAGAATATCCCATCGTGACACGAATCTACACGTTCCCATCCCAAAGGCACGTATAAGCCAAGGGTAGGATGATTCCAACTAGCCTGTTTGGTCTGATCACAAGCATAATAACAACGACCAAAACTGGAACGTCGCTCAGTCCAGCCACTGGGTACCGCGATTTGCAAGCTGTTATCCATTTCGATAAACGCCTGAAAAAAAAGAAAAAGTGCGCGAGAACTGCTAGATTACACTATAACGATGATGTGGGAAGAAAAGTATTGGCAAATGTTAACAAAGAAAGGACATGACTGTAAACTACTATGAATACTGACTATTACTAACCGCGAACCCAGTGAAAAATATGGCTACATTCCCCTGAGAGGAGACCACGTACGACAGTTTTTGACTTCACTGAAAGTAAACTACGGCAAATTTATTCCGAAAAATATATGGTATGCCATAGTGATCCTCGTACTTTCAATGACCTGTCAGTCTCAATCAATAGGAACGCTAAGCTGATGGTTACTCAACCTTTTGTTTAGCGGCGGAGACCATATAAAATCCGGTAACAAAAATGAAAGAGGGAAGAGAGTTTTAAGGAGGGCGAAAATCAATACGACACACCTTAAATAGAACCGTAACCAATAACCCAGACACCTTTATAAGTGCAGATGTAGGTATCGATAACATTGTGGTCACAAACAGAAATAAGTGCAGAACCCATCCAAGTTCGATGGAGCGTACTTGATTAGAAACGAATACATGATCGAAATACATCAACAGCCTGGTTAGGACTAGGTGGAATAGCAAGAACTCGCATCAATTAAAAGAATCAGTTGAAAATGGTGGATTTGGTGAAGACGGGAGTAGACGTGTGATACGCTTGAATTCGCATGGGTAAGGATGCGTACCCACTTGGAGTAGGATCCAGACGTAACTGGAGGAAATTCTTTCTCAGTCGAAAAAATGCAGGAAACAAAAAAAGCCGAATAATCTAAATCTAGAGGTCTCAAACAGACTGAAACTTACAGCTATTTTGGAATAAAAATCTGTGAAGTTCGTGAGGGTCAGTGCGGGATCACAGGGTAATTCTGGGGATAATTCGAAACTCGATTTTGTAGATCGCATCTCAAACGGATGTTTCGATCGATACCCAGAGAGGTCGTTGGCACTTAGAGAGTTACTCATTGTTCGTACACCACTTGGAGTGACGCTTGGCGAGTCTTTTGCGGGTGGAGAAAGGTCCGAGGGACCACGTCCCATGGGAAGAGTGGGCGGTGCGTGGTACATGGGACCTAAACAGCGGTGAGCCGAGCGCGGTATCGAAGGTTGGAGCCCATTCAAGTCCGGCCCGACACTTCGTTCACGTGTCATACGCTGTGACATCAAGCCAGTTGGGTTAGAACTGCCGTCCAAAGAACAGCCGAATCCAGCACCGGCACTACCCGATCGTGGCATGCGGAAGTGGTATGGTGAGAACGGCGTATGACAATACGGGTGTCGTGAGCTCCAAGCAACTGAAATGAGTGAAGGGGATGACTGAAAAGAATTCTGAGCTGAGGAGTAAACCGTAGTAACGAATTTGTAGCGCCTTCTTACACTACCCACTCATGAGCATAAAGTTGAAACCGATCATAGAATACACAAAAGCTTTTTTTCTAATTAGACATCAATCAACCCGGTGATCAAAAGGTAGGCACAATAGTTCACGTAAAACTCAAATGAATAAAACGAGTACATAGTAAGGGCCTCGTGTAGGCGGATAAGCCGTTCACAACCGGTATTTGACCATATATATCAGAGACGAAACGATACTATGAGATATTCGAAATAACAGAGGTGCCTTATCTTACCTCTCGATTTGATCCTCCCAATCTAGCTCTTTCAGCAGGGCGATAAAGGATACAGAGTACAATACGCGTCATTGGCAACCAGCATTCAGCGGCCACTGGAACATGGTTGGCTGCTGGATCCACAATATATTATTTCAACTGGACTGGCGGGAAACCCGATCTTCTGAGGCGAGTTGGGTTCATTGGCCGTTGCGAGCGGTGGACGGTTTCGGCATAGAATCCCGCTTGACAATATTTCTCCCAAGTTCTATTACATGACTGATGGTTAAATTCTGTTTGGCAACGCTATTTTGTTTCTTGTGTGTTGCAAACAAGTGTTTAAGACTAAACCTACGACTGATTAAGCCAACCTGATCCCATCTTCAATGACCCAACGCTTCCGTACACAGTAAGGCGTATGATTAAAACTTGGGAGCCGAATAGCGAGGTCGGAGGATAACTGAATTTCGCGGTTTTCAGTTTCCAATATTGATGTTTGCACGCTTCATCAGGGTATAGGGAAGCTTACCTGGTGAATTCCACATGGCTGAGTCGAATGTAGGGGACGGCGAGAGTGGATAGAACGCACGTGGTGGACCGTGATGCATAAACGGAGTGCGGTCCACGTATGAAGGATATTCCCACTGAGCGGTAGACATTTGGGCTGGGTCCGGAAAGCCATATGCCCCGCCGTAGGCCGCATCCACAGACTGTCCGCTTGGAAACGCTACCACTGAGTTAAGCTGCATAGTTGTGCTGGATGAGGGCATTACCCTAGCCGAGTCTGCATAGGTAGCGAATCGGGCATTTTCGTAGCCCCGCAGCGCACTTCCACTGGACAGAGCAGAAAGTTGTGGCCTGTGCTGTAACGCACAATGAAGAGGCAGGGTCAGTCAGTACGAGACCGGTGGGGAAGTAAGCTAACACCGTCTGTAGACTACCATAAGCATGGAGTGTACCTCAGCTGTCAGTCAGTTCAACATAAATGAATGTGAATAACTACTGCAAATGCCCATAATTAAAACCACATAAGCGCTAAGGTTGGGTCTTGACAATAAGTTCAATTCGAAGTAACTCCGATGACGTCCACTGCCAAACGGTAGGCATTCGTAAAATTAACATAAATTTGGGGAATGGCTTCAGGAAGATGACATAGTTGGACGCGCACACACCATCCTCAAAAAACTGCGCACAATTGGACAATAAATTAACAACGGGGTTGCAGACACAGCTAAAAGGGCAGTCTCCGGATTGTCCCTCGGTATCTAAATGATCAACCCTATCCCCGGATGTGCAGTGTTTCGTTGATCAGATGAGAGGATAACCAATTATCCCTATCGGCTATCCACATAGTTAATTTGGACCGCATCAGTGTAATACGCTGGATATACAGGATGAGTCCTAGACCTTAGTGAAATGCTCACTGTACGTCGCAGGAAAACCAGCTTAGTTAGAAGATAAATATTCCATTCTGTAGAATACCTCTCAAGAAGTCAAACAAAAATGGGCTATGAAGCGGAATGACCTTCAATCGACCAGAATTTACAGTTAAAACACACTTGAGTGTAAAAGAAGCCAACTAAAGGTGTCTAAGGTAAAGCCTTTCAGACATCTGAGGAGACTGTGAAGGACCGAAAATCGGGTGGTAAAGGATGAGTTATTCTACGCATTTTTGATCTCAAGTATAAATAACATGAATCCAGGTAAAATGGGCTTTCTGAGCGTTTTGCTAACTACGTGGAGTTTTTATCTTGAATAGTTAAGGTGAGTGTAAAGGTTCAACTCGCAATCAATTTGATGTCCACGGAAATAACAAGGACTCCACGTAATCCAACAGACTATTCAAACTGTCTAGGGTATTCGCGGGGATTCATGAACTCCACTTGAAGATGCCCGCACTGGAAGGTAGTACTTCTGGTTGAATCTGTGATGTAAATTAGGGGGCTGAACCTTTTCAACAAAGCTTTCGGTGAATCTAGTTTTAGAACGAGTTATTCCCAGGGATAATTAAGATAGACGTTACAATTTGTACGTTCAAGAGCCCGGTCCAGAAACTTATTCCGTGACTTATGCCTCCTGCTACCACCCGACCGTTTCATCATCAACCCTTCCGGCTTAGACAACTCCGACTATTAACACTGAATGCGGGTCATAAAATAGTTTTTTAATCGCACGATGAAAATCCTTTGTTGAGAAAAGCGTTGGGTATGTCGACAATATCGCTAAAAACGACTTGGTAACTCGGTCGTACTTGTAAATCTTGGAATCTTACATTCAGATTGATGAAATCAAACAAGACCAACCAATCTAGAGAGCAGACAAATACATACGTGTATCAGCGCGTCAATGTAACAATAAATTCAAGTCACTTGGCTATGAAACACTTGTTGTAAAGGTTACCGTGCTCAGCGAACAAAAAACAAAACCCCACGTTTCCTCCCAGATTTTTACCATTACACGAGCATCAAACTCCCGGGCAAAGCAAACAGAGTGAGCGTCACAATGGTAAAATATGGTCAATACTCTTCTCACTGACTTTCTGTTGGATCCACGAGGCAATACCATCACCCCTTGAAAATAGACGGCAAACCAAACTGAGGGTGGCGGTTTCTATCCGAACGACAGCGAAGTGTGAACAGGCGTTCATCAGCAAGGTGCACTCTCGACTACAACAGCACTCACCGTGATTCAATTTCGTTATCAGCAAAAATACACTCACAAAGTCCTGTGCTTGAGTTATCTAAAAATTCTGACATACTGCGAATATAGCAATAATCGGAGAACTGGAAAATAATCGAAAAAAAGCAGCAGACATAGGATCCAACTACAAGCAAGACTAGCATACCGCATGCACTTACTGTGGCGGACTGCAGGCACAGGGCGTGGTAACAAACCAGAAGGGAAACATGCAGGTCTTCAGTTTGTAGCGATTCGCAGACGTACCTGGGAAAAACACACCGATCGGGATAAGGCACGTGTACAACCACATGCGTCATAGTAAATGCAGGTACAGGGAATCATCATATGGATGCTCCAGACCAGTGGAATCCATGGGTGATCGTTTGACAACAAAACGATAGCTCACCTTTTGTGGACCAAGTACTTATGCACATGTCCCGACACTTTAAACTACTCGAACAGTCTCCTCATGGTAATGTTTACGCATGAGAGCTGGGGCGTTATCAGACTGACTTAGCGAGTAGTGATGAAGCTACCAAGAACACCCTCACATAAAGGCTCCGAGCAAGAGCCCTCTAGTTCAAGCGCACAAGAAAAAAACTATGATTTGCGAACAGATCCATTCTAACTGTTTCGAAACGAAATACGTCGCATCAAATGACATCGTACGCATTGATTCTGGATGAAACTGTATTGAACTGTATGTATCCCTAACGTGGACATTACATGACACGTTCAACTGAGACATCCAGGTTCCCAAAGAACGACAATCCCCGTAGTAAGCGAGGGAGATATAATGTGATAGACAAATCGCGACCTCGAACGCCTTCATGAGCTACGGAGATATCAATTCCACGAGTGGAAACCCGTTATGAAGCTGATGAACAGCTTTTTAATGGACGGAAATATTGTGGATTTTTACTATAAGGTTGCTGGCCCTACGGAAGATAATTGTTCGTAGATATTTGACGAAGCTGTTTGGAAATGTTGTGGATTTTTACAATAAGGTTTCAAGACAATTACTTGGCCTGTGGGTTGCTGGCCCTACGGAAGACAATTGTTCGTAGATATTTGACGAAGCTGTTAACATATTTGCAAGTGTAGCTATAGAAGCCATTGACTGTAAGGGGGATGCCGTCCCAAGGAAGTTAGCAGAAGACGGTATGTACGGACGGATATATGCCTATTCTAGATATGTGCCCCCAGGGGTTTCGTATATAAAAAACTTTAGTTAGCTGGTACGCGTCGTGATGCTATTCCCTCGGGTGCGATGTTTAATTTGTAACAAGAAAATCATAGTGTTCCAGGTGAAGAGAAGTTGGCGTCAAGGAGTCATCGAACCGAGTAAGTAACGAAACTTGTCTGACAGCTGCAACCGACCACTTCTTTCAGGTATGTCAACTGTGTAACTAAACAGAAGAAACCAAATTTTTTCGCCGTGGTACCCTCTCAATGTCCAGTTGTTATGCGGCCCGAAGGGACGGGGACTGAGGTGCCCTGAGAGATCCAACTCCAGATAAGGGTGATCAAGAGGTTAAGAGTAGATTCGAACCAAAAGTTCTTCGGCCCTGGGCACAAATATGAAACCTTTCGTGGAGTTCACTAGCGTCAACCACTGGTATGCACATGAACTCGAGTGTCAGTTACGTACCAACATCTGGTTGTTGGTAATGCATCGGAATATTGCCAGCCCAGGCGTATTTAATGGTGGTTGATCCGTTCGCCGAATGTGTACACTAATCGTGGAGAAATGCAGATAGCGCACTCATCATTGGTATACACATTAAAATGGATTGGTTTCATCCTGGATTCGAACACATTCGGTCATCCAATTTAGTTGAATACTTCAATGAATGCAATTTGCAACCTGGTCGCGCAACATAGCTTAGGTCATCAGGTTACAGGCTTTGAAACAGGTACCAGAAGTAGTGGTGACCTGACACTGTTCTACGCATACGAAGCCTTACATTTCGCGTCGAGTCCAAAGTGACACAAACCGAGAGGCGAGCACCCCATGACTTGGCAGAACGGGTTGTGGTAGGTCACGAGCAGTCTGAGTAATTTGGATGTGGCCATCTCTTTAAGATGGAAGCACATGGGTCCATGCCTACTTAGTGGAATATGGCAGCAAACCGAAGTCCATGGCATTTCGTGCTGCCATCACTTTCCATCCAAACTATGTGAATAAGAACTGGAGATGTAGGACCACAAATGTTCCTCGTAGGCTAGCATTAACCCTTTTCTCCGTCCCATCTCGATCTCCGCCACGTATTCACAGCTTTACCCAAACAGGTTAGAGTGGTCAAACAGAAGTGATGTATAAATGACTAGTTGGGTGAAGAACCCATCCATGCAATGATCTGGCGCAAGCCCTTCATTCAACTACTCAGGATAGAGCAGCGAAATATTGTGCAGGCATTGTTAGATAATAACGCAATTTTATTAAAAGTTGAGTCCAAGGGGAGCCACTTTGTTGTTGCCCGTGGATCACCAAAAAATAACGTGCAGTCCCTGGTGTTGACGGGGTCAAAGTATACATAAGGTGAAGGAAAGCGACCATAAATTCCATTCGATCCTCAAAACACCTTCCAAATACCATGGGGGAACACCTACGTGCACATTCTACCGAATGGTGTTGCCCGTAGAAATGAAGGTGAAAATAAAGTGAGATGAAAAAACAGAAACAGCGCACCACAAGCAGTTTCCGTGGCGATAATTTAAGCCACTGTTGGCCGGGCTGGACCCAAAGGGACAAGTGTAACAGTGACACCATCGCTGGGCAGACTGGTGTCTAAACTTGGCGAAGTCGGACAAGATATAACAGTGACACTAAATAATTTCCTGAAGGAATGTGGATTGAGCTCATGAACTAAATGGTTCATAGAGATAACAGTGTGGCCTCCGCATCAATGAAACCAAACTGGCCTGTCATACTTACCCAGTGTGTGTAGGGATACATTTGATGGAACTCTATACCACAAGAGCATGTTTCTTGAGGAGGTGTGGGAAATTGCGGTATCGTCATATTCAGCTGCTCTTGTACAAACTGACTAAGCCAAGAATTATGTGGCGAGTGATCAGCAGCTGGGTGCGGCCACCAGTAACATTGCGGCGTGTATGGAGACCAACGTGAGCGCGCCGAACAATCGATAGGGAAGTTGGAAGCGTGCGTCTCCGTCACCTCAGGATTGGATCCACAAGACCTTTGATGGAACGGAAGGTATGGGGTATGTGGAACAAGTGGTGGTGATAAATCAAATTGTTGTGGGGGAGGGTAGTCCCTTTCTTCATAGTACTGGAGCCCTGGGGCGGTCCCACAACTGTTCACATTGACGGGAGTTATAGGCGCAATGTATGAGGATGTGGGGAAAGCGTGCACCTCCGTGGAATCGTGACCAAGTTCTACCGCTGCGAGTTGACAGGGATGATCCACTTCGTCAGGGACTGGCAGGGGGGCCTTGTTGCGTGAATGTTCGGTGGTGTTGACTGGTGAGTCCAAGCCTATGAATAAATACGCAGTGGCCTACTGAGCATTCAAGGTTACACAAACGAAAATTGCCCGAAAAACCCTCTACACAGATGGTAGTTTCCCTATTTTGGCAATATTTACGCCTACTAGAGCCTAATAAGTAGGTTGCGTGTGAAACAGATACGACAACGATCCGACAGGCACATCTCAAAGCGATGAGTGACAACCATTTACGTACCACACGATATAGGCAGGTATATTCTCCATTTTAAAACAATCAAAACCGGGAATAGAAAACGCCGGTCCGGAGGGGCAACGACAGCGGTCATTTCAAAAGCCTACTGGCCAACGGAAGGGCGTCCTACGCTCACGCAGGTAGAAAAACAGCGACAAGCAGAAAAAATTGAACTATAGGAAGCGCCTTTCACGTTGAGGTTTTAACCTTCCGCATTCTGGTAGATCATGTGAACATCCAATAATGCAGTGTGAAGAACTTGAAAAGTAAAGTAGTCACATGGGGAAAAATGGCACATGTTCGGGCGCTCTTAATAAACATTAGGAAAATATGCTGATTCCTGAACAGATTCAGATCTATGTAGTTGGGCTGTAGTCATCCCGCGCAGTTTACGTGGACCATCTTTGGGATAACCCCCCCTAAATTTGCTAGTTACAGGACAGGGCAGCAAACGCTACCAGACAATTAGTGACCGGGCTTTCTTTGTACCTTGAAACAGGCGGTACGAACCTCGGGTAGTACAGTGTTCCTTTGGATTAGAATGGTAACTGGGTTATCAAACATATGATGGCGCGTCCAGGTGCACACCACCAGTGTTCACTTCTGCTGACTGTTACCACAGCATAGGTGATTGTAGCGGTCACCCACAAAAACCGTATAGTGAAAACGAAGGCACAGTTGCCTGAAGCCTGACTGTCGTTCATTACCCTTTATCTTTGGGTCAACTGTTCAGTAACCTGGACAAAAAAAGAAGCATGGCGTTCTATGGTGACGTTAAGCTGGATACAACGGAACAAAATCGGTTACCCTGTTCATTTTGTTAACGCCAGAGATTAGGAACGGAAGCTTAAGGTCTTAAGGTTTTCAACATCGGCCAATTAGGAAAATCGAGTGAAGTTGATGCAAACTCTTGTGAGACCCTAGAAAAGGTGGTTCAATCCCACCGCAATTTTTTCAGAACTAGAGAGCTGTTCGATCTCCGAGGAACTACTGAAGTGTGTAATGCAATGTACAAAATGGTGAAAATAATTAAACGTACAATTACCTATCGCATAACCGACAGATACCAAAGGGCTTTCTGGGGGGAAATCAGCACTACATGGGGTGATCTTTATTAGGCGTTCATCAAGAAGTCAGATGCGAAATGAACCTGATAGGACACTTTTGCACCTAGAGATGAAGTTAACATAGAAAACACCTAATAGTTTCCGTACAGCTTACAGGATGTATTAGGGTTGAGACACAACGGGACCAAGATACGGGGAATCGGATAGCCGGAAGCACATTCGCACAACGATTGCTCAAGTTACTGACTTGATGGACGACGTTTGTACCAAAATATCAATACTGCGAGTGTGAATTGGGATGAATGGAATGCTGGTAAGCTTATCTGCAACGCTGTGCGAGAAAGAGAAACTTACAAGGTGCATTCCTACAAGTTGCCGTACGGTGAGCTTCACCCAGAGAACCACGACTTGAAACTAAACAGTTTGCTGACTGTGTCACGTGACTTGCAGTATCCGAACCAGCTGGGAGTCGACAGTTTGTGGCCGAGGGTTCCGCATTGAGTGGTCTCGGTTGAACATCTCCAGCAGCGATCGAATTGGTACTTGTGCTATGTGATGTGTGCAACGGAATGGGTTGCTCCACAGTTGCAATGGCGCCTCGCACTCCGATGGTTGCTTCAGCTATGTAGCCACTACTGGATGTCGTTGTACGAATTGAGAAACCAGGTGATAGAGGATGAGGATGATCGGGACCGAATTTGTTGTCAAGATAGCGCTTGAAATGCTGGAACCCGAGGGGCAAACGTTTATGCATTAGGTCACTTGAAGAAGAATCATATTCTGACCCGGGAGTAGATACTGCGGTTGCATCACTGGAGGACGGTGGTCTGTCCAACCCTGATTTCAAAGCACGAATACAACCGGTACGCACCGCGCTGCTGCTACGACTCGTAGCCTGAGAATCCAATAAGCACTCTTTAGATACATGTCTGTACGGTCCGTCGGCAAGAGTCTCTTCACGATCGGTTTTGGGTGGAGTCGGTTTGGAATGGTGTTGCAGTATGATAGGAGATGGCGAAGAACTAAAAGATCCGGGAGTACCGCATGTCCGAGAACGCAACGCCAAAAGATCATGGACCGCCTTTAGAAGGTATCGTAGCTAACGGGGACAGAAATGGAAAGCAAAAGGGTTGGGAAAATGAGCATATTCAGCCCAGTGTAAGAACAATCATGAAAGAACGTGTTGGATTAGAAAATAAAAACGGAAACTGGCGTAAATGTCGAGTGCAGCAGGTCTATTTAAAAAAATAGACGACGGAACGCTTTTTTCGATTTAGTTCGGGTATCACCTGTGTGAAAACGAACCGGTTCCCTGTAGATTCCGAACGGCACCTGCCCAAACACGGCTAACTGCTCGTGAATGTGGATCCAATAATGGTTCTAGTTATGTACGCCGTAGATGTCCTACAAACCAAAAATCAGTTCAGAGCCTAACTCAAACTGCGCTAACAACGCCAATCTTAGCGCGGTTTTGGAGTAATACAAGGTCTGGTTGTTTGAGTATGTTAGCGGCAAAAAATGTGACTGAGCCATCTGAATAGACGATGAGTCAGCTCCGCAGCGAAAAACATCGACGGTAGATAGTTGTTCGATACACCATTTTGAAGACGTGACCTAAACATGTTTCTCCAACGCACAGAGCCAGAAAACTTAAATCCGAGTGTTTCAATTCTTCGTGGGGACAGATCGCTTATGCAAACTAGTGAGCTTCATTCAACATTGTGCTCAATTTACACTCAGTTCGCTTGTTCGTGTTAGTTCCTTATTTTCTGTCGTCACATGTACTGTCACCAAAAAAGTGTATGAAAAGGTTTTGCCTCGTACAAGTAGTACTGTTGTAAAGGTGACTATCGCTTCGTGACCAGAGAGAGCGGGTTTCCCTTCTAATTGATAGAATCGGACAGTTCGCTCGCAGCTTAACGACCTAAGAGGACATACAGCTTGGCAGATCGAACTAACAACAACGCTTACGTAGGCGAGGTGATATACTAAATCCTTCCTCACCCTACATATTATTCGGATCGGCCGACTGTTCATTTAACTTGAGTCTGCCCGGTCTATCGGGAGTCGTGGATGTGCGAAGTCACAATCCGACGTACTCGTCTGACGTTATTCAAGGAAACCAGTGAGTACGGCCACAACCAGGGCTACTTTAATGTCAATAGTATAATAATAGATGTGGCTCTGCGCACGGTTAATAACGTTTTGACCAATCAATGGTCGGCCGATGGACCAGTTTTGACCTATTTAGCGCGGCCAAATGATGAAGAAACCTGAATAGGAACAGTTCTAACATCTAGGATTATTTGTGATCCAAAGTACAAACCCCGTTTGGAGGAAATCTTACACAAGGAGTATACCTCCAGTCCAGCCTCTGGGTAGTTTGTATAAAGAGAAATCACATCATTTGCGCATCCACGTCAATGCGATAGCGTCAGTTATGCAAGTCACCCTTTATTTAAGAAAAGTGCGGCCAGCAGATGGTATGCAGGAATATTGACAATCTGTACTTCCGAGAGATGAAGGTGGTACCAGAAACGGCCGTTGGGAAAGGGATGACAAACCAATGGTTCGGTGAAATTGTGAGCTAAGTACACACGTCATGATATGGGCAAAAATGGGAACCTGTACCTTGTGGTGTTGTGGGAGTAAAAAGCGATATGAAAAGTACATAAAATGCACATGCGGATTAGGCAGCAAAGGATATTCAGTCTAAAATGATGTAGCTTTTCGCTTTGGTGCTGAAAATATACAGGTTACTGGCCAACTTACTTTCCACTGTTACAGTATATGCTGTCAGTGAGATGACGGCAATGAGGGTAAACTCTGATTGCCAATTTGTTGTAAACTAAGAATGAACACGATTTGCAGGAGCCCTGAGTAGTTCCCAAAATGAACTGTGACAGATACAACCAAGTTCAAACTTAGGGTTTCATAAAACATGGAGAACACCGAAAGGAGGAGGATATTACTGTGGATTCCAACTAGAAAATCAGTGGCATAATCGTTCATGCACTGAGCTATTGAATCTATTCCCATATTATAGAACACATAGGGACCATTCACTGTCCCCAAAACAGGACGGAGAATATGTTCGTTTTATTGCAGAAGCGCATTCCATCAAACAGGATGGGAAATGCAACAGCGCCGGTCGCAATACACGCGCGCGCAAATTTCAGGAATGTGACTCCGAGGACAATCAATCATCAAGTGGCCGATCAATATAACAAAAAGAACGACTTCCTCGTTCTTCAGGAAGTTTGTGGTCACTACACCCAAATAATAGTGGCCCACGCATTGTCTAAGCGACAGAAAGATGCACGCGAATGACAAGCGTATGCGCCTCGAACTGCAGAAGCAGTGCACGTACAGACACACTGAAATCGATGTCAAGCGAGGCGCATGTGTTTAGGAATGCACAATACATACAGAGAGTTGAAACGGGAGATATGGAAGTGTGTGCCTATGGCGGCGAGCATGCGTGTATTTCATGTAGACCAAAAAGATGACCAAAGGAATGTGGTAAATCACGCACACCGATAGAAGTAAGTTCGCGTATGTATGCCTTAGACGTAAGTGTACAAACAAGCGCATGCAACTGCACCATGGGTGGGCTGTACAAAACCTAAATCATTTGCCATACTTCACAACCCTAATGATGCACATACACGGATAAACAAAAACCCAAGAATTCGGATGCACCAGATAGCAGGACCAAAATGATCATCGGTTAAATCAGTTGTAACCAGGCAGATAGTAGTCAGTCGCCAAATAGTTTGAGAGCAAAACGAAGTCATAAATTACCTCAAACTAATCAATTGGGAAAAACTACGTTATAATGCCAGCTTTGTCGCAAACATGAGAAGCTGAATCCGATTCCGTTAACCGAAAGCGGGGCCCGCTACGCGGAAAAAAAGCCCTGGAACATGTCCCATTACCACTGGGATTACTTGCACGATTACATTATAACCCGAATGATAACCAGCTGAATTGCCTTCGTTCGACCAACACGATTCAACACGATTCCCAATTCTCGAAGATAATTTTCTCAGTATCACAGAGAGTGAACTACCCTCCTAAAATTCGTAGGGCTAAAACAAACTAATTTCCGGACGATGTCGAATTTTACGCATTGATTTATTGAACTATACTTGTGTCTCGTATGATGAAACCTTTAATAGTTGTGATACACTCAGGCAGGTTCCTCTATGCTGGTTTCAGAGTACCAGAGGATGGACTAATGGAGGTTTTGGGGATTGAGACTCTTCACTAGTCTACCCGTAAGTATAGACAAACAAAGAGAGAGCGTGTCAACAGTTGTAAAAGCGACTCTAGGTTCGGAAACTTTTAAATGATTCTCGGGGTGTCAGATTCAGTTTCATCATCATCATCATCATCATTGACAGCATGACATCAGTGTTCAACACCGATGTTTCACTGTCGTTAAAAACGCGCGGAAAATCCAGTCACTAGGCTGTATCTGTTAACATGGAGATTGCCTGGAAATCACATGCTTATAATCCCGTTATGAGATGGCAGTGCACAGTACCATCTTCAATGTCTGTGCGAGAGGATCATATGGGCAATCAAGAGAAGGTGTTGTCTGTAAAATTCGGAGTCACGTGGAATCTAAACCCAAACCTAAAGTGCAAAACACCTTCTACTCTCAAGTACCCAACGCGTATTATCGTCCAGAGCCAACCTTCGGTGGACAGATGTCCAAAAAAAAGGAAAAATGACGGACTACCTTAATTCACTTACTTCGTTTTCGCTAAATTGGTCTAACATACTTCTACGATCTGTCAACTCTTGTGACAGTTGGCTTGAAATTTGGACCTTGGCACCGGTCAAAGAACTCCCCGGTTGGCTGGATTTTTCTGGTACTGCGGAGTCGTACGCCGGGCTGGTTACCAAAGAATGCATCGTAGTCGTGCCGCTAGGAAAGGCGTAACGCTGGGAACCCGAGCTAAAAGAAATGCTTCGACCGCGACTTCCACGAGCAGAGAGATTGGTATTTTCGAAAGTGCCAACAGGAACACCTGTGGTAGAATGGTGAATGAGAATACAGCTATGAAGTAGATCACACCCAGCACTCACCAGAACCGTCTCCCCGAGAAGCGAGTCAGTACATTTAAGTTGTACGAAAGGACTAGCAAAGTATATTGAACTCGGTTCACAGGACATATGCCTCAAAATTTCGCAAAAACCAAAGGTTCGACGGATAACCTTGTTTTACGAGGGATTCAGGTGGCTTCCACGTGAGTCTCCCATCAAAACGAAATTGGTACGCAAATGGGTGTACTCTGTTGTTGATATGGCATGGTCTCGCCGACTGACCACTCCGTCACCAAGTTTGCTGCTTAACGATTAAGTGTCTTCTCCGAGTTCCGATCTGTTTAGCCTAATCGTACATTTGCTACTCATTAGCCTACTTCAGTATTGTGAACGAAACCACTGAAACCGACGGTGAAGCAAATAAACAGCTTTACTTTTAGCGAAATACACTCATTTACACACAAAATTGGTTTTACGAGAAACTCATCTGGAACCCAACTGAATCCCTTGTTAAAGTTCAAAGGGATGAAACAAACAGTGGCATAATCGAAGGAGCAAAGAAGAAAATGTGTGGAGATTCAATCCAGATGACAGTAACAGCACGTCCGAGGTCCGTAAAACACCATATTTACTAGCTGAGGCCTTCGACACTAAAACTAAGTAAATACTTTGGAACGCTGTACACAGACGGCAAAGGATTTTGGCAGCAAGAATTATTGCACTTCAATCTCCCACTCATATTGTGATGGAAACCAGAAGAATGCAAGTAGTTTTCCATTCTTCCGAATGGTCATTCATTCCCTTGTGTGTATTTACAGTCAGCTGTCGGTCGGAATGGTTGATATCATCACAACTATCGCATCGTAAGCTCGTGATAACAGATGACTCCTTTAGACTTGACTTCATCAACAAAACAGACTACGAACTGCAACTATGAAACGGGTTATACTGATATGCCGTTAAACCTCAACTGGTAATGAAATATTGGTGAACGGACCGCCCAGCTCTCCGAACTGATCAACGTTCATGCGAACTCCTAACTTATATAAGAGGATTCCGTTATTTGCGAGGTTCACCGTACATGGGGACAAAAAGATGCGGAGGTCTTGAAGCAGAGACCACCGCTTGCTGATGCGGTGCAAATCACCAGACACAATAGCGTGATAAATTGTGAAGAATATTATGCGCCACCTAGATAAACGCATATAACAGGTACTGTATATCACTCTGAGCGCTGACATTCACGGCTATGGAACGATAAAAAGTATCATTCGCCAAACAACTTGTGGTCCGATGTATTGAGGCGTGTATAGCTAAAATTTCCCCGGCGAAGCAGATTACGGTAAGGCGAACGTTGTTTATGACCATGGAAGGACATTACACAGTAGTCCAGGATGACAAATGAAACGAATCGAGCTTCCTAGGCTGGATGAAGAAAATTCCCCTGGGGTCAAGGTACATTAAGAAAGCTCGCAAACAGTCGAGATGTGTAGTTAGCCGGGAAAATGCAGGTGACCGATTGGCCATGCATAAAAAACTGTTTGGGCTAGCGAATTACATATGCGCGAACCTTCGGAAAACATCACGCAGCATTTTGCCAAACCCGGTCGCTCTGGCTCAATTACTTGAGTGCGCATTGATGTAAACGCCCCTCCAGTAACATCGTACTAGAGCGGCTCACCTGATGGGCAGAACGATGGCGATTTTGGCGTGGTCCAAAAATATGACCGAGGGTTTACACAATGTATGGCGTAGGCGCGATGCACACTGGAGGCGAATAACACTTGTTGTAGAGTGTGGACATACAGCGACAATTTATCCAGCTTCAATTTGCCAAATTCCATGTCAGTGAATAACCGGCAAAAAGCCAGAATGAGGCACCGAAACACAACTATCAACGGCGAGTGGTCTCGGATCAGCTAGAGCGAGCCAAGTTCTTCCGACCCAACAGCACAAGTGAGAAATAGCGCTCTGTGAATCAATCAAACGACTATAACCTACATAAAAATTGGTGCACTACCCTTTAGGTATATTTCTGAAGAACATCCCAAGATCACGGAACAAACCTGAGTTATGGAGGTTTCGGAGAGCGTTCTGGATCCGGTTTTCCAGGCAACGAAGCAGTTCTAGGCCTTGGCTATCTGAGGTGTTTGACATGGATTCAAAAAAAGGCACACTGACTCCCGTGGAATTGTTATCTAACGAATTGTCGTCCCGGTCACTGCACTTTGTGGACTCGCCCAAGAGAGATTCACCCGCGATGAGGTCCGACAAGTATTGCTGCAAAGCGCATTGAGTATATTGTGGTCCCGGCATTGCGACCCCGTCAGGATGCCCACCAGCTGTTGATATCAAAAATAGATTAAGATGGTAAACAGTTTAAATAAGACATAATGATGGTTCACATTTCTACCTCCAAGTGGCACTGTAAGGACCGGTTGGATCAACTGCAAAGCGTCAAAACAGGTTTACGCTAGCGAAAGAAGATACATCTCCTTAAATGTTACTATCGGGACGAAATCACCTTTGACTCAGATAAATACATGAAGATACAAGACTGCTTGTAAACTTACAGTTGCCTGCAATCACAATGCAATACGACCTCAAGGAATGATCTGAAAACGAGCTTCCAGCATTGTTAACCAGATGCACAGAAAGCTCACAGCCACCAAGTGCCCCACTTTTTGTGACTCTCACTTATGATTTTGCGTGATTCGTACCAGGCAGCTGTGCTTGTTGCTGGTAGTACCCACGTTGAGCGGAAAACTTCGGACATGTATTCAACATGAGCATAACTTTTAAGAGCACCGCAGCGCAAATGACCTTAGAGCGCAGCAAATCATGATTAAACTGATGCTTCCGAAATGCAAGCTAATGCCTTCGGCGAGCGCCAAAGTGAAAACCTTGAGTTCAGACATTCACCCTAATACTATTTCATCCACATTCATCTGACATCATATATGCTGCGTATGGTTTCCCAAGGCGGACTTCAAATGATAATATGAAAAACAACCATCCATCTGTGTCACCATGCTATGCTACCCGAAGGAAGCACGAGGACTGAGGTAATGTGAGGTTGCCCAAGCCCAGGTAGGGGAAGTCGAGATGTCGAGGTTGGATTCGATCAGTAGGTTCGCCCCTTAACCATTGAGTTGTCTCAAGCTCTCAAGTGGGGATACCTGCTAATCTTCCACAACAGCGCCATCCGATCTACAGGACGAAACCATGGTCTGATTCGGAACAGTTGACTATGTACTGACCAACCTACAGCTCCAATATTGGCCCAATCGAAAATGTGAGGTAGGATAATACAGGCAACTAAATAAATAGTGCAGTAATCGTTCAGCTGTGGTACCCTATTGATGCTTAGCCGCTACGCAACCCGAAGGAAGAACGAGGGTTAAAATACTGTGAACTTCCCAGGCCTATACAGGAGCAGTCGAGGCTCTGAGGTTGGGATCGGAACTCAGACCTCCTGATCAGTAAGTTCGCGCCACTGAGCTATCTCGAGCTCGGTAATATAGGTAGGTGGTACTAACCACTTGTTTCATACTGATGAGGAGCCCGAGTGTCACAAGATGGATTGTCCCCTGAAATCCATGTAGTTGGTCATCTGATTAGAAGAATGGGGGTAAGTTGAAAACGCCCTTTGATTTTGATGCGTATCCAGTGACTATAAAATTATTATTGTTATATGCGCTATAATAAACGTACATTGCTACTCCTTTAAGTGATGAATGTATTTCCGGGGTGGAAAGGCGTTCGTGTGAGCTCAGTTGGAACAACCCTATCAGCTCAATTAACTCCGGTCCAAATCAACAATGCTCAAACTGGGAAAACTAGAGTGGCTTCACAAGGAATCCCTGTACAATATGTAGAACATTTCAACCTGCGAAGCAACTTCAGCTTTAACCAGTCAACAGAGGAATGTTTGTTCTAATGAGACAAAATACTGAACAGTGCGGATATTCGTATTTTTCACTATGAAATAACCTTACAAAAGAGGAACAACGAATTACTTTGCTCCCAGTGTAGGGCTTCAAATCACACCACATATGTGAAACGCGTGCAAAAGCAACGTTCTGAAGAAATGAATGACAAAGTTTTTATGCAAATCATTCTATGGCCTAGTGACAATAATGGTTCATCCCTCCCCAGCTTAGAAAACGTTGCTTGCCGAAACAAAAGGCGTCAGGAGCCTTAATTGTACCACATAATACATAGGCAACATTATTCCACTGGAGAACACTCAATGAGTTTTGAGACCGATCATCGAAAAAGGTTCTAACAAATACTACGAAAACGATCAACGATTGGTAGACAGGCGACTCACGTGAGCCCCAAGGAGGGTGAGGAGGCTGTAGCTCACAGAAGTGCGAGCAAAACGACTGGGGAGCCGCGCTGAACCTGCAGTGAGGACATGCGGATCCACTCGACCTATTAGTCGTGTGGGACCAGTTGGAAGACACAGAAGTGTGATCACTATCACTATTGATGTCACTGTTAATTCGGAAGTCTTGGCCTTGGTAAGCACCCAGAGCAGAAGTGGTGCTAAAAAGCCATGGAACACCAGAAACAGACCGGGATGAAACTAAACCTGACGACTGAATTCGATCACCAACGACGGAATTAAGCTCGTCGTGTGTGGAACGTGGGCCATGTAGCTGGGAGGTGACAACCTGCGATGAAGATGGAGAACAGACTCTTCGACGGGTTTCAGAGTCAGCATAAACATGCCTCTTCCACGGCACACGTGCATTTCGATCAAGTGAAATTCCAGAGTAACTGGGTGTAGCATCTGGTGGACAAGCAACGCCTGTCGAGGCATTTACTTGGACTGGCATATTCATAGGTCGAACAAGCACAGATGGTCGCGTACATCTAATGGGCTCCACAGCATTAATCGAGGTGTCACTTGAATCCGTGTTTTCAGCCGGCTTCTCGATACTATGCTGTAAGGAGGAGGATGATACTGAACTAGGTCCAACTCCATCGCGATTCGCCGAACTCATGCAAAACTGTCGCACAGGATACGGTGTGGAGGGAGCATGTGGCCGGGAAACGGTCACATGCGTATTACTCAAGGAGCCTGTAGTTTCCGAGCCATGGACTGTGGAAGAAGTACCCAAAATTATCCCAGTTGGTTTGTGTGTCAGACTTGCAACGCTTCCCGACGAAGAAGACTTGATAATTTCCGACGCCTTTTTGACGCGTCGTAAATTATCCGAGGTTCTGGTGGGAAGATTCGAAGAAGGAAATTGACGATCATTAGACACCGAAGATAGAGAAGAGGGCCACGAGGGTGAAGACACGTCTGTGGATGACTGTCTAGTTGATAATACTTGAATGTGGCTTCTACGGCGATCGACTTGTCTGTTCACAGTATCTTTCAATTGAGGCACCGAACACGAGCTGGGAACTGCAGTGGATCCAAACCGGTACCGATGGCGTTCCTCGGGCTAAAAGAAACACGATCTAGATTTTAGTTTGAGGCTTACTTCAAACTTGAAAACCGGGGTGGAAGCGGTTGATGATTCTTGAGAAGACAATCCCTGAAAGTGTGTGGTGGTGCTCCGACTGTCCAGAACACTGGGACCTAATGCAATAGATTGTCAACATCAGAATGACTTACGTGAGAATACATCAGCCGTAGTCTTCTTCGTGTATTTGCCCGAAACGTTACTCAATCCGGGCAATTTTTCAAACTTTTTTTGCAGCATCATGGAGTATCTAGAAGTAAGAACGAAAATCGTAGCACCTACAATGGCCCATAGGCAACCTAAAAGTGAGATGGGTAGTTCTGGCTGACGAATTTCATTGATTTCGACTACCATCCAAATTTTCTTGCAAAACAAAAAACTCTGCAACGAAAGAACCAGCCTGAAGCAAAAATAGGTTATCGATGACGAGTATGAAGTGAAAAATGTGACAATAAGGTCAGGGTAGAGATGAATGTGAATCGGATTTTACATAGAATGCGTTACGGCAGCTAACCCAAATAGGGATCACCTGTGGGACTTGATTGGAGTGATACTTTCTGAAGGAACGGCTTCCACTCCGAAGCCTAGTTTTGTGACAGGTGGGTTATCCTTCAGGTTATGTTAATTTTCAGAAGAAATGCTGCCTTTTTATAACCCGCAGTATTCTCCCCTCATTTGAAGTCGCTTGAAAGATACTACTGACAGTAGTCCACAAGCAAGGGATGTGACCAGTTTTCCCTAAGTTATGTGATTTACAGTGGTGTAATCCGACCTGTTCCGCGGTACTGGAAGTAAGCTGCTGCTAGGTGATTCGCTGTTCCGTCTTTCTCTGAGCCGCCTGACTGCTGCCTGTCAGATTGCACGATCGCATTAGCGGTATAGCGGTGACAAGTTGCTTTAAACACGAAAACCGGAATGCTGGAAATTTGACAATTCTCCTGCAGCCGAACGTAAGTAGAAAGGTTGGGTTTCATCCAGTAGTCATGCTTTCTGACAGACTGCGAAGCCGGGATTTCACATCAAAAGGAACAAGCCTGAGTTGTCGGCGCCTAAGTATTTTAGTTTGGATTTTCAATACAGTCGAGTTGCACTCGACTGTTGTTAACTAATGCAACAGCTGGAGTTACGTGCAACCGATTCTATGAGACAAATGTGTAATTTGTTGTGATACCCTATGGTTTAGTGGCATTTGAGGATGGAACACCCGACCCAACGTTGATCGGTGGGGTTCCAGAGCGCACCAACAGTTGGCCAAAATGAGGTGTACCAGTCACACAACTCAACTGCTGCAGCTAACCCATTCAATGGAATTCCAGGTGCACTACTCTGTTTTGGCGGGAAATGCGCTGAAAGGTTCTTCAGGGTGTCTAGCTGCTTAGAAGTGATCGGTAATGAAAAAAAGAGCGCGAGCCGCGTCGACGTACAACTTGCACGCACTTTGACGTAACAAAGCCATTGTGCAGGTTTACGTGAAGTTCTGCCAGAAGTTGTAGTAAAAACAAACACTGCGTCTTCGCCATTTGACGCGCTCACGGAAAACATTGTAACACTTGTGAACTGTTATTTTTCATCCTCATCTCCTTTCTCCCTATGAATACCGGTCACATTACTATACAAATGCTTTAATAAATACAATAACCGCCCGCTTTTTGGGTCCAACGTGACTTTGTGACTTTTGCTGAGTGACTGTTGTTGTAACTGCCGGTTGGCTATCATTGGCTGCTATTAACTCTGAACATGAACCAAAATTTTAGCTACAAACATTGGACTCATTTATTCACATCTGTGGATTAATAATGCGGTCAGCGGAGATCTGAAATACCAGGAAAGTAGAATCCTCTTCTTGGTGTGGTAGCTCGACGGAATACAGAAATACGAAATTTCTTATTGCGAATCAGGAGTCAAGATTTACTTGGAATTTCCTTATGACATCGTACCTGACTTACATTAGTAATTAGTTCTTTTCACTGGAGACTCCATAGAGCTGTTAACCACTACATCATCACCAGCCTACTCTGCCGGATATCAAGGTGGCAGCTACCACCGGCAAAACCTCAGCTGGTAACTAATAGCATGAGCACGAGACTCCTCCAGTTAGGACAATAGGTATTTCGAAGTGAAACGGCAAAAATCAAGGTACCTAAAGCTTCTCACTCAAATCAGTGGTTGATTACCATCATCACCAGCACATCGGTATTCACCTATTGGTGCTTGGCTTCTGGACAGCCATAATACGAACCCTCCGATCAGTAAACTCGCTCGTTAAGCACCGAGGCATCTCGAGCTAGACAACCATGATTTATTTGAAAGTCCTTTAGTTGTGCTACCACCAAAAGATACTCAGCATGAACTTCAGGGAGGATTTCTGATTCAAGCAGCATTAAATGCGCAAACCGAATGACGACTCAGACGTTTAGATGCTCATTCATGTTTGGAAACTACGCGGCACAGATGAATTCTCATCAAGCGCCTCATTGGAAGTAAAAATTTTCTATTCTTTTACTGTTCTAAGATGTACGTATCTTGTTCTTGATCAGTTCTGTTAAGGAAGTAAAGTTTTGGACTAGCTTTCCATTCCTCATAATTTTGGTAGCCAAGCACCGTCATTCACTAGTGGTGTGTCGCGATCGATGACGATGTTTCTGGTGTTATTAATCTTACGCCTCTGTTAATGACTCCGTCACAAGACAAGAGTCGAAAAAGATGAACTAAACGGGTCAGGCTATTTTCGGCTTGTGTATAGCATTGCTGAAGGGTAGATGACGGATGATTTCTAGTTGTAACCAAAACCCAACTCGAAGCATCATCCAGCGCCAAGTAAAACCAAGTGTCCGTGCCGACCAGGAGACCTAGTGGACCCAAAAAGCCGAAAAGATGGGATGGAATATGCCAGAAATGTCCACAGATTGTTCCACTCGATATGATCCATTCGTCCTCGCAAGGCCCTTGTTAGTGAAACTATCAAGGATCACAACAGCTCACTGAAACCCAGAATGGTCATTATAATCACGGACAGCACAGCATTAGTGTCTAACACTGCGGCCACGCTGCAGCACAACCATGATTTATGTGAAAGCCGTATCGTAAAGAAGAGCACAAAAGTGGACGGAGAAGGGACTTAGCTTAATACAGTCACTCCGAGGTGCCTACATCTCCAGACAATGATTCAGACAAACTGGATAGAAACTGACAACAAGAACGTCACTGACATTGATTAACAGCCGTATTTTGCAGCGTTTCCAACCAGACGCAGTGGAGTTCACGCGGTCCCCATCCTGAAATGTGAGTAGTACTGACATGCCCAGACTTTTCGTAATCACCTTAATGCCCCACTGCCAGGTTAAAGGTTGGCAACCTCTCTGCTTCCGGCACTCTCAATTGGGCACGGAAAATAGCATACTCTTCGGCAACTGATGATTCGCTATACGCAATACGTAGCCTAACCAACGCAGCTTCTGGTGCACATTCTTCCAAGGAAATTCCCGGTGCACAACCGAAAACTCGCTTTCTAATTGCCTCATACAGATACGCCGACACCAGCCCACACGAGATATGGTTTTGAGACGATTGTCGAACACCTGAAGACGTCTGTTCCGTCACTCGAATAGGCCAAACAACAAAACAGCCCGCACTGTAGCTTGATACACACGTCCCTTGAGATTCAGGGACACACCACTCTGACGCCATAGGTGTCTCAAATTAGCAAACGCGACCCGAGGTTTGCAGATCCTCATGTCACACTACAATCAGAACTAATACAACTTCCAAGATACGTAGAACGCTCCACAACTTCCAGTGCCTCTCCCTGAATTGTAAGTACCGTGTTCAGTGATTGCATTCCCACCTTAAACTTTGTCGGTGCCAAGTGCATACCAAAGGACATGAGAACTCTGGTCAGTTCTTCCAAAGACACCAGCGCCTTGTCTTCCTCTTCGAAGACGAGAACGATGTCGTCTGCATATTCCAGATCGACAAGGTTTTCGTCGGAGGCTAGTTGAACACCGGAGTTTTGGAGACCCTCCAGCGTTTGTTCCATTATCCCGCTGATCACGAAGTTAAGCAGAAATGAGGAGTGGGCATCCCTGACGGATACTACTTTGTGTGCGGGAGCTTTTGGAGAGCACGCCGTGTACTCTCACACGTCTGGAAGTTTGGGAATACAAAGGGCTCATTATGTTCAAGAACTTCCGGAGCACTCCTTGGTGGGGAAGCGTGTCAAGCAGGACAGACCGGTCAACCGAGTCAAATGGGCCCTGGAAATCCAGGAACACTAGAATTTCGGGCCACTTATACGTATGGCGTTGTTCGCTTGCTGCTCTCGAGTCAGTGTTTCACGAGCCATCATAAGCCGACGAAGCATCAGTGACGCCAATCCTGTTACGACCAAGGTCGAGCTGATCTCCTTGTGGTTACCACACGCAGCACGAGCCACGCTTGTTGAAAATGGGCAATACTACCCACTCTCCCCAGTTGTCTGGGATAGTCACCTTTTTCCGAATGCAGGCAAGCAAGTCAGATGAGCGCTGACTGAGGATTTCACCCTCATCTTTGAACAATGCGGGTAGGAAGTAACCCGAACCAGAAGCTCAGTGACGTTGGAGACAACTTTTGCAGTCATAAATCTCCGAGGCCGTAATACTCCACGTTAACCATTCAGGGTTCTACGTTAACTGTTGGCTCTAGATGAGTGGCATCTAGTAGCGTTCAGCTGCAGCACTCTTCCGGTGCCTAGCTGCCATGTCATCCGAAGGAAGCACGAGGGCTGGGATGCTGCCAGGTTGCCCAAGCCTAGACAGGGGAAGTCGAGAGGCGGAGGTGGGATTCGAACCTCGGACCTTCCGGTCAGTAAATTCGCGATTTACCACTTGGGCCATCTCGCTCCGTGGCAGCTAGTGGTCCACCTGTTAAGGGTTGCATTGATAGAATCATCACTGCAGCCTGACACGCGTCCTTGAGACCCATAGAGATGCCTTTTTGACGCCACAAGTGAAAAAATTCCGGCCTTCGAGATTCGTGCATACTGTAACACTACTGCCAGAGCTAACGCACCTTCCAATATACGTATTGTGTTCCACAACCCAGTGTCACTCTTTGAATTCTTTAAATGGTGGGGGCTAGATGGCTCAGTGGTTAGAGCGCGAATTTACTGACCGGAAGGTCCGTAGTTCGAATCCGACCTCTGCATCTCGACCCCGCCTGCCCAGGCTTGGGCAACCTGGCAGTATTCGGGTGGTATGGCAGCT